TTTTTTTTTTTTTTTTTTTTATTACTGTCTCTCAACAAGCTAGCAGGGGGCACTCCAGAAGCACAGAAATCTTTTGTGCTGTAAGACATGCCAGTCTCTCTAAACTACTCCAGGCATAAACGCTGTGGGCTCTAGCCTAGCTCGCGCTAGTGCAGGCTCAGTTATACCAGTCTTCACCTGCAGCAGTGTGATTCTAAGTGCAGGTCTTGACACCACAGGCTCATGGGTTTCCATGCAAATGTTATGGCTGAAGTTGGTTCCTCTGGTGCCTTTTGTTTGCTCTCGTTATGAACTCTCCAGCAGGAAGCAGAGCTCAGCCCTCTAACTGCATAACGAAGCGGTAACGCTCTCCTCTGCCTAGGTTCACCAGCTCAATCCTCTACCAGGGCCTCATCATGCACATGGGACTAGCTGGTGGGAACATGTATCTGGATTTTCTCTATTCCGCTCTTGTTGAGTTCCCAGCTGCGTTCATGATTATCGCCACCATTGACCGCATCGGGCGACGCTACCCATGGGCTGCATCAAATCTGGTGGCTGGAGCCGCCTGCCTTGCTACTGCCCTGATCCCAGAGGGTGAGTCACCGGAGGCCGATGTAGTTTCCCCACCTAATGTTGCCTCTCAGCAGCAAGGCTAGTCTATCTTCCCATATAGCCAAAGTGAAATGAGGTCAATTTGTAGTTTAAAAAAAAAAATCCAAAAGCATCTGGGTCCTTCATGCTGCTTTGAGAACTTCCCGAAATTGCAACTCACATGATGCCAACTCTTTGCATTTCCTGCAGAAGAGTCAAGAATTATGGCATTAGTTCATTAGCTGATTCCCTTTAAATCACTGAGAAATATGTAGATGTTTTGTATGTGCCTTGCTTGCAGACCTACACTGGCTAAAAGTGATCACCGCTTGCATTGGGCGAATGGGAATCACGATGGCTTTTGAAATGGTTTGCTTTGTGAACACCGAGCTGTATCCAACATATATCAGGTAGGTACACCTTCTCCCAGCCAGCCTCTTGGCCTGGAAATGAATTCAAGGGAAAAATGGAGGCAACCCAAGTGGATAAGGAATCTTAGTTCCTGTATATTTGCATTTGGGCCTCTTTTGTACCAAAACAACCTTTAGTTGGATCTATCCAGAGTCGGTGCTGTTGTGGTGAATCTGCAGTATTGACACCCAAGTCTGTGATCTTAGGTTGGGTTTTCTCCACTCCCTGTATGTTGACTGCAGAGCAACCTGCTCAGGAGTAGGTATGAGAGATGTAGATATCTAAAGCTTTAGAGATGGCAACTCTTCAAAATTTCCTACTTTTTACCAGTGATCACAGTGCGAGATAACTATGTCATATGCTGTTGTCTGAAGGGTAGGTGTTTGTGTTCATGAGATGAGTCTCACAACTCCCTTCTTCACTAGAAAGGAACTGATCATATATGAAGTTGCACTACATATGAAGTTACAAAGCTCTTCCTTTCATTTCCTTATCCAAGATGAATACAGGACAAGACAGTTTGGATATTCTACTTAGTATCTCTGGGGTGGAATCTTTCTTTAATCTTGGGAATTTTCTCATACTTTTTCATGTGAAAATACAGGTAAACTCTATTGTTCTTCTTTGCTAAGACTTTTATTCTTGTGCTACATAGGTCTGAATTTCTGAATTAGCCCACCAGCTAGGAAAATTAGGGCTTTTCTAACTACTTTGATGTTTTATGCGTTCTGCAGAGCAACTCCGTATGAGGTCAGAGCTGGTTCCTCTCCACCTGCAGTAGGCATTTCCCACTAACACAATCCCTTTGTTGTTGAACCAGGAACCTTGGCGTAATGGTCTGCTCTGCCTTGTGTGACATTGGCGGGGTTGTCCCCCCCTTCATCGTCTACAGACTGGTGGAGGTGTGGCAGGAGCTGCCGCTGATCGTCTTCAGTAAGTGCCACCTTGCCTCCTCGCAGGCTGCTGCTCAAGCGCAGCAATGGGGCCCAAATTGTGAAGGCAGGAAATGTGCTGAGAAGTCATAACTTCCAGTTGATAGTAACTTGGAACTTATTTATGCATTTGTGTCTTTTTTGCTGTTAATATTGCTTCTTGAGTTTTTAAAGAGAGCTAGAGATGAACATGGATTTGACAAACACCAAAGATCTGAGAAACATTCCTACATTTTGGTCAGACTAATATTTGTGACTGATTTAAGTCTGAATTACTGCTCTTCTGTGAGTTAGATTGTCTCAGTCCTGGAACAACAACAACAAAAAACAAGCAAACAAAAAACCTAGTTTGACATAATTCTTATTTAATGATACACTAAACCACAAGTGTGGCTGCAATACTTCAGCTTTTCCCACAGTCCATGTATTAATGGGCTATTCTCTGTATGTTTGGAAGGAGCCTGGTAAATAAATGCAAGATGAGTGTTTCTCTTGCTGCCTGAACTTTTAGAACATCAAGGTCTGCAAAACTTCTCTAAATCTTCAGATAAGAACACAGTACAATACTTACAGAAAAATGTCTTGAATGACAATATGCAATTTTTAACTGAGGGCACGTTTATGAAGGTGCATACTAGAATTAAGATTTATAGAAACCAGAAAAGTATGTGCTAAATGGGTATCAGAAATTGTCCGTGGAGAGTTAGTTACATTGATAGGAGTTAACATACTGTGAATATATCTTCTAGATCTTGTTACATAACAGAAAATTCAAATCAATTTTCTGGCATACATTCTGGTAAAAATGGATTCTTTTTACTCCTATCTTGCTAGTCTGAGGGAGTTCAGTGTGTAACCAACAAATTGTACTTTGCTATCTCTATGTGACTGCCAGACCTTTTCCAGAAGGTGACAGTCTTGCATATAAAGTCTTGATTTGCAGAAGACTTTTTCTTGTTGTCTGAAGAACAAGATAAAACTCCACTTATGGGTCCATTTTGCAAGTCATCAGAAAGAAGTTGTATATGCTGCAGAGTAGTGTATGCTAACAAAGTCTTTGCATCTGTTTGATTTGAAGCTGTTCTTGGTTTAATTGCGGGTGGATTGGTTTTGCTTCTGCCCGAAACTAAAGGAAGAGTTCTGCCTGAGACGGTTGAAGATGTTGAAAACTTGCACAGGTGAGTCAGAGTGATGAGTTTTCACTCATCGCTTATATTATGCCATACAGAAAAGATGAAAAAGGAGGATAACCCAACCAAGCAACTGCTCCAAGTGATTACTTTTAAATTTCCCCTGCACTTTTGATGGTTCTGTCAGTCTACTTTTCAGGCATTCAAAGTGAAATGACTTGTGACCAAGCCATGCTATAAGTGGTAGGATAAAATGATGGCCTTTTGCCTTTGCATATCAGTTCTAACAAATATTCAGGCTATAGCTAAGTCAAATAATTGATAATTTAAGTGCATCTATTTCTTATTTCAGCTGCTTTTCCTTCATAATACTTAAAGGGGATCAGAGGTGGTCATTTGTCTCCGTATTCTGAGATGCCTTGTCACCCCTCACCTCTGGCTGCCTGCTCCTTCCCCACACTAACTGCACTAGCATCTCAAACCCTCCGTATTCTGAGATGCCTTGTCACCTCTGGCTGCCTGCTCCTTCCCCGCACTGCTGCAACCCTCTTACAATTTGTGCTTTTAAACGAACAGAAAAAGAGCAGTCTTGATACTGGTTACTCTTAAAATGATGTAAATCACCAGTAACTACTGAAGAGCCAGAGCAAGCCTCAGGGCATTAAGGATCAACTGCTCATTTTCTTTGGAGAAGAGACCAAGACAAGTCATGGATTTGCAATTAGGTGCTCATAGGTGCATCCATTCCTGATTTACTGCTCATGTCATATTGTTCTTGCAGGCAAGGAGCTCCAAAGGAGAAACAAATCTATCTCCATGTCCGAACATCAGAAGCAGCACATGACTGAAGAATGCAGACCTCTTGCTGGGTAGTATGCTTTAGAGCAGTAGTACTGAAAAACAAATTTAAATAAATATTCTCTCTTCTTCCTTTTTTGCCAACTATCCTTTATTTACAATGCTTGGAGTTTTCTGATGAGGTTGTCCCTGTTACTGCTTATTTTAGTTTTTGTCTGCACGTTATAATATAAATATAGTCTAGAACTGGAAAACTCTTTTATACCAGCCATATGAGCCTGAACACACAGGGGCTTCTCTTTACTTTGGGATAGTGGGATCTGTCCCACCAGAACTTTTTAAGCCTCCATGAAGTCCTTTTTTGTTCAATTTTATGCAAGAGTAGCATAACATTTACCTCTCTTGTGGAATGGAGGTCACTACAAGCCACCCACATGTTTGTTACAGCATGCAACACCTTCTCACAGACTTTTTACTTGCACTTAAGTGTCATGGAGTTCACATATCTTCTTATGCCTCTGGAAGAGCTCACACGGGGCATTCAGCTGGCTCACAGGAATGAGCATGTGGAAACCAAGGGCATGAAAAGGAATGTGTTGGAGAAAGATGCACGGTTCTTCATAAGACCATAATAACCATAAATGACCATTCATTTGCTAGTGTGTAGCCACTTGCTATTCTTGTTTTCTTTGAGCTACCTTCATGGTAGAGCACCTACACTCTCACTGTGCATGCTGCTGTTTGCTTAAATTTCCCTAGTTTTGTAACCTTGTGTATATACAGAAGCACACAGAATTTGATAGGAATCTAAAACTATTCTAGCAACTAAAATATATGGCAGGTGTCAGGGTTTATAGGTGGGTAGGGAGCTGACCAGATCTTGTTTTGCTAGACGGCTAGGATAAGGCTGGTACAGGGCAGAGCACTATTTCAGCGTGTGTTTGTGGCTTGGGCACAGGGCAGGAGGAGGGAAACTGTGGTCTCTGCTCATCTGGGCTGCACATTGAGCTGCCTAACATCCTGCCTTAGATGAAAATTGTGTTTTCCCAGCTGCCCTTCTCAGCAGCAGCCCAAGTTCATCTCCTGGGACTGAAACGGTAACACTGGGGCATGACCAGCCCAGTGCTGTGGCAGACCCTGCTGCTGGCAGCCCCAGTGCTGTGGGGCAGGGACAGCTCTGGGCAAGCCGGGGAGCACCTGAGCAGCGCTATGTCCAGCTTAATGAATAGCAGACTGTCTTTCTATGAAGACTCATCCTTTTAATAAGACCTTGCCTCTAGTCCAGCCATTATAATCTCAGCAAAAGGATTGTGTTTTAAAGGAATATGAAGCTCTCTCTATGATTCCAGGGTACCTTCTAGCTTCTAGTAACTGGGTTGTGGAAAAGATGGCTCTTTGCTTTGTAATTGTGAGATGCAAAGGTCCATGTTTTCTGCCCAGTTGCAGATGTGGTCCAGCTGTGGCAACAATTTCTAAGTGCTGTTTCTGTCCATGGTGGTTGTTGTCAGCACCAACATCCAGGCACAACTGCCAGCATAGTTATTGTTTGTGGCTCTGCTACTAATTTTATTCCATTAAACACAACCATAGGCTTTACAGAATATCAGAGACTCATTGAAGTTGAGTGTCTGCAAAGTATGTCAATGTGTTTTTGTGTGTATGCGCCCATGGCAGGACATTGGCAGAAAATAGCATCTTACAAAGCTTCTGTGGCTTCCAACTCCCCTTTTGCTCTGTGATCAAAATGTTTAAGATTCCACATGCAGCTTGGTCCAGTCCTATTTGTACTGCATGGCATTGCATCGCCCTACATTCAGTATTTTTTTTTTTTTAATAAATCTTTTCCCAGAACTGGGCCTGGTCAAGAGACCTACTCAAAGCCCCAGATAGTATTGTGTATGCAAAGCTGCTAGGGGTTATGGAGAGGACCCTTCAAGCAGCCAAAGCCCTATAGCAGTGATTTTCCAGCATGCCATTGATGGAAAACTGCTTAGAAAGCCAGATCCTTCGTGGCTAATCTTCCCCTTCAGTCCTTACCCTTTACAGCTATTTTGGAGTTTCGCTGTACAAAAGGCCAAAAACACAGCATTAGGAAAACAATTGAGCACAAACACAAGCATGAATTTTCTTTGGTGAAAAGGGTAGTGTCCTGTTATTGTTCATGCTTCCTTCCATCTGGGATGTGTGATGGCATGTTCCCTTCCCAGTACTGATCCCTACCTCTCTTCTAGCAGCATGCAGCCCCCTGAGGGTTTGGGGTTCTGCTGCCTTCAACTCTTCTTTGCCTTCCTTTCCATTTTGCAGCTCTTCTAATATTCACATGTTTACTTACAGTGAAATTACAGGATGTCAAAGCTGAAGAGCCAGCCTAGTCTTGGAAGTTTTTTTTTTTTTTTTTTTTTTTTTTTTTGTGCTTAGTTCTCTACAAGAGAAATAAATAAATTAGGAGAAATAGAGGGGCTTCAGCGGTGCTTGCTGCTTGAAGACACCTGCTCTGTGCAACCCCAGGGGTCCACAGACCAACTGGCAATGCAGGGGTGGGGGCAAAGATTTTAAAGGGAGTAAAGGCAATGGTGACAGAAAACTGGTGCCACCTACATGCTTGCTTATATACAAAATCATGTGTAATGTGAAGGGAGTGCCTTGGGAATCCGTGTGCCCTCCTGCTCACTACAGAAAAGTGAGTGAGCAGCTCACAGAGATGTTTAGTCTCATAACAAGATGAAGAAAGTGTTTCTCTGTGAAATTAGTGCTCTTGGGGCACCAGAAGTATGAATGTGCTCAAAAGAAAATAGAAAGATTCATGGAAGCACAGCAAAAGAAGTAAACTGGATAATATTTTGGCTTTCTTGCAGTTGTATCCCCATCTGAAAATCATACCATGCTTTCCTAATGCAAAAACCTGTCATGATAGGTGACTTCTGAATTAACACCTGGGCATGTATTTGCATGTATGGGCTCCTGAACATGAACTATGTTCAGGCCTGCATGACGTTAGCTTGCCTTCTGACCAGACCCAGTCCTGCAGAGCCTCAGACTGTACAGGAGCAGAGGAATGATGGGGCTCGGGGCTCTGTGGACCCCTGCTACCCCTGGAGGGGATTTAGTGTCCCCACTGCCCCTTTGGACTTACAGGGACTTCTTTTAACTGGTCCATTTCCAATTTGTTCTCCTCCCATTCCTGTTCTCCATCTTTTACTCCTAATCCTGTCGTCTCCATCTTGTTCTGCTCCCCTCCCTGCTTTTAGTCTTTTAATCTAATAGCTTTTTTTCTCTCCTACTTTTGAATTACCGACTGCCACCTTCTTAGTTGGGTGGCTCTCCCACCTGACTTCCAGTTTCTTTTTCAGGGGCCTTCAAGCATCCCCTGCCCCTGTGCCTTTGGTTCCCCCCAGCAGCAGGAGCAAAATGCCCTGCAGGGTCAGCACCAGGGACCTCCTGGCTGTGACGGGCTGCCTGTCTGCCTGTGGAGGCAGTGCTGGGACCAATCACTCGCCCTGCTCTCCTGGGGAGACTTGGTTACGCACTTCTCTCCATTCTCCTTCCCCCGACATGCTCCTTGCTCTCACATTCCCAGGGTGCCTTCCACATTTTTTCCTCCAAATACCATTCCTTGATCTTAGCACAACCTTCCTTCTTGCTATCTTCTAGTGGCCTTCAGTTCTATGTTCACTGCCTCAAGATGTTTCTCCTACTCAAAATCAGCTATTGATATCTCTTAACGGATCATCTTTCCCCAATATCAGCCCACGTTTTCAGGGCATTGATTTTTTTTTTTTAATGGGAGCAGTCACATCACTAGTACAACTGTTACAGAAAGTCGTAGCCCTGTCCAAAGCATGGGAGAGCAGAGTGCCAGCAAGAAGCAGCTGGTATCACCCCCAGAGCAAAGCTGGGCTAGACTGTGCTACCAGCTACCTGTGCAGTGTTTCAGGGATGAGGTGGAAAATGAGCTAGTCACGGGGGTAGCTTCAGAGGGATCAAATTGACTGCCTGTTTTCTTATTTTTTTTTTCCTCCTTCTCTTTTGCCCAACTCTTTTTTTCCCTGCACTCAAGTTTTTACTAGGCCAAACGTCTTTTGACTATGTATCAGCTCCTATAAATGGGAGCAGATCCCTTGGTGCCCATGAAGTTATACCCTTACTGTGGGAACTGCTTCAGAGAATGTAAATTGCGTCAAAAAGAGGAAGTGCTGAAACCACAGGCCACTTTTCTACAATGTTCTTTTCCAAAATTTAAAAATGTACCTTAGCCAACTTTGTCCCTGTTGGATATAAGTGTCTCTGAATGTATCAGTGGTCCTTCTGCTTGCACAGATGAGTAAGGGGCAGGAGGATCAGCCTGTAAACGCCGCAAAGGTGCGTAACTCCCTTCCAACCTTAACCGTTTTGTGACTCTGTAACTCAGCTGGCAACTGTTCACAGCTAGGCTGGGCCAGGGAAGTTTTAGGTAGGAAGGCATGACTGACTAGTCTGGTCCTCAGCTTTACTTTGCAGTTGTGATAGCCAGCTCAGGAGGGGCAGAAGGGCAGCAGCGGTGCCTGTGCCCAACTATGCGCCTTACAGATCTGGACCCTGCTCTTGGCTTGCTGAAATGATGAAATGCCTTAAGCTCAACAACTCTCAAGCAGTTGAGTTCAAAGCCTGGTAAAGCTACCCAAGAATGATTCAATAACCAGAAATTTTCTATATTTATAAAAAACCCAACAGGTTCTAACAGATATATGTCTTTTCTTAATAGATTTTGCTGATGTAAAAAGGGAAGGTCTAATCAGTGAGAAGATACATAATGTCATACCTGTGCGTATTTTCAGCATCTTCAGTGGTCTCAGCAGTTTTTTCCTTAGTATCAGGTGGGAACAAAACCAGGCACCATCAGTTAAACCAGTCACAGTTTTGATCAAGGAAACAACAGAGATCGTAAAGAAAATATAATGGTCATGCCAGAGTTTAATTTTAATCTGCCAACTGTACCTGACATCCAGGTGTCTCAGGATATGAATGAATGAGGATACCTCAAATTCATGTGGTTCTTTTTTCTTTTTCCTTTTTTATTTTTTTTTAATAATTATAATCATTTTAAGGTGCATTTCATTCCTGAAAATAC